CACTCTTCTGACCCTCAGTCTGCTCTTTCTCTTCCTCTCTCGCTCCTTGAAGAGAAGAGGATGGTTTAATTGTCATTAAAATGAGAAGAAAAAAAAACCCCTCTCTCCTCTTTATCCCCTCCTTCCCTTGTTTCCTCCCTGCTCCCTCTCTTCACCCCGGCCTCGGTTCACTCCTTTATTCCTATTCACACTTCGCCTCCTTTCAGTAGAAGAATGGGGTGATTAGGTTTGTCAGTGAAGCTTTTCCTTGCCCTCTCATCCTCTTTTTCTCCCTCCGTCTACTCAGAGTCAATTTTGTACATGACTACATCCATTACGATAACAAAACAAAAACAATAAAAATGTTGTTTTTTTTCCCCCCCCAGCAAATATCAGCAATTAATTCATCTTCAAGCACTGAAACCCGACAATTAAAATGAATTACTGGAAGAAAAGCAGGACCTTTCCTCGCCTCTGGCTTGTTGTTTCCCTCCCCGTCTCTCTGGAAGAATAAGGTGATTAACTGGACCAGTGGAGTTTCTGATAGATCGATGTGTAGCTGCGGGCTACAACAACAAACCTCCTCAGATCTTTGGCTTTGGGAGACTTGCAGGGCTCACGCAGAGGATCTGTGAGTGAATATATTTGGCTAGCTGGTGGCTTTACTCGGATTTAAATAAAAAGAACAACCCAACCCGGTGTTGATTCACTCAATCTCCTCGGTTACAACACGGCTGGAAGTGTTGTTCCCGACAAAAGAGGGCGAGCTGTTTTACCGAAAGCAAGACAAACCCCTTAAAGCATATACGGAGCAGTCTCCCAAAGCTTTATTTCTATTCGTCAAATCTCCATATCCCCCTTCTCCCTTCTTTCTCATGTGGGTGCGAGGCATCACAGTGTTGCACGTCGGGGCCCCGGCGATACAGTTTTAACAAGGCTTTGAACGCCCCCGGAGCTGAACAATGAGTTCTCCGCTCGTGTGCGCTCGTGTGCGCTGACGTTTTACTTTATAAAGCTTCTCTCACACCTGAATGCCGGGTTTTAAAAATCCTCAATTTTCTGATGCAACTCTTGCACGGAGGTTGCACTGAGAACACAGCAGCTACTAGATTTTCACGAGTGCAAAACAAAGACACTCTGTATCCGCGATTTCTGTTTTTGCATCTTTCCGTCGGCTGCCGGCTGGATTCAACGCAGGACTTTTATATTCCCACTGACGTCTGATGAGACAGACAATCACTCGGCCTTTGAGTGGACTATTTCCTGCGTTAATCGGACACATGTAACACCAACAGTGTGCAGAAAGTCATGGACCAAATGAGCGCATGTTTCTCTTTCTCGCATGTCAACGAGAGGGCGTTTCTCTATTTACTCTTCCGCCTTTAGGCCCTCTTCACTTTCACCTCTTCCATTTACTCGGTGGCCTTTTCAACTCACTGATCGATGGCGTCCCGTACCTCGCACACATACTTGTTTGCTGCAGTTTGTGCTGACCATCTGTTACGAGTCACCTCTGTTTCAAGGTCAATTAGTAGCCTCTGCACTTCTACAGTAGACTGTGCTCTGTTTAATAGCAATAATAATGTTGTTTGTATCGCAGTTTTCAAGCTTAAGAAGAAGTGCTTTGCAGATTAAAAGATTTAATACAATTTAAATTTAAAAAAACAAATCATTGAACACTGAGCGCATACATAAACAGAGGAGCGAGAGCAAAGTACAATAAGAATTAAGTGAGAAATACGATCATATAAAGCCGGTGAAATGTAAGAAAAGGAAATAACCACTTATATAAACAAATAAGATGCAAATATAAGAGGTGATAGAATGAAAGAACCAACTATTCAACCGGTAAAAGTGCAAAATACAAATGTAACGACAATAACGTTCAAATAAAACACCATACAGTAGTACCATAGAGAGGCAATATGAAGTGATGGGACAGTAGAAACACAACACAAGTACCATGTTGTAATAGTGAGTTTTAAGGAGGAACTAAAGGCTTGGGTAGGTGCGATTAAAAAATCAAAATGCTCTGGCAAAAAACCCACCCTGGTGTCTGTGGCTCGTATGAGTCTTCCACAAGCTGCTAGCTTAACACAGTGAGTGCTAAGCTAGCAGCTTTTTTGGGGGGGGGGAGAGGCCTGAAGTTGACGGGCTGTCGGTGTTGATGACTTGGCAACTTTCTTGCTAGCGCTGCTAGCTACTCTCATTGGAAAGGAGTTGGCAACGCCGGACTGGGTTTTTCGGTTGTTTAACTTTTAGCGTTTCTCTAATGTTACCTACCCCAGCTTTAAAAGTTGCAGTTTCACTGGTGAAAACAATGCTCCGCAGCACTACTAGTGGTGAAAAACTCCACAGCGATCCTTCAACTAAGAATACAGATATGATGTCAGGGCCGCCCGCAACATGTCACAGTGGTGGTGCCCCCGCCTCACCTAAAGGAGGAAGCCATTGCATTTTTATGAAATATAATAACAGTCTTACTACGCTTCGGGGAACACGAGGTGCGTCTGTTGTTAAAGCTGCCATCTCGTCACCACTTTGACAACGAGATGAGATGCGTGAGGATCTGTCCTGATTCGGCTCAGCGGGGGGGCGATTGATTGATGGCGCGTTCGTGTCGCAGTGATTAATCAAAGCGGGTGCAGAGCAATGCCGGGAACTCGGGGGGGGGGGAAACCCCTATTAATGATGGCTGAACATGCTGACATGCATCGCGTCACTGGGACACTTTGACGGAGCTGAGTCATCGTTAATGTCACGAGTCACACTTGGGCTTTTTTTTTTTTACCATGACAAGTTAAAATGTTGCATGCACTTAGCCTCAGCTGACCAGTTTCCTTGGCAGACCCTGTATGCTGTGATGTAAATCTCTCTAGCCCATAGAGGCCGCTCAGCTAAATCTTCTTAAGTTTGATGTATTAGGTCGCATAACAGTACATTCACTGCACAACACCTCCTAAAACCTGCCTAAATATTATTGCAGCGCCGCAGACATGACCACGCTTCCCCTTGTGTGCCGGACATGTGTTCTTTCACCAGCTGCGACTGTATTTTTATATGAAGACGGAGCTTTCTGAGCCTGACTTTGCTCCGGCCAAGGTGATCCATCATCGGCGAGCTCGCGGAGAGAAAAGAGAAGGGACGCAGGGCGAGATAGAGAGACAAAAGGACGGCCCTGCAGCGGTAATTGGGTTGCTGTTTTTTTTTTTCCCCGTCAGTTTCTAAAGTCATTAGGAACGCCGCTCTCTTCTCTGCCATCTCTCGCTTCCTGTCCTCTTTTCCCCTCTCTGTCATCCCTCCTTCCTCTGCTCTTTCTTTTAATTCCCTCCCTCTCCTCCGTCTCCTCGCTCTGTGCCAAAAACATATTCATCATACTCCTCTGCTGCCCTCACAGCGTCGAGCCACAGCATACTAATGACAGTCTGTGTGTGTGTGTGTGTGTGTCTGTGTGTCTGTGTGAGAGAGAGAGAGACTGTCAGCACGTGTTTGTACTTATGAGTTTGCTGGCGTAAATGCGTGTGAGTATAAGTCGGCATGTGTACACTGTATCTGCTTGTGTGTGTGTATTTGATTAAGAGCGTGTGTGTGTTGTGTTGTTACTTCAGGCTATAAAAGCTTGATAATACACCATGCACTCATTTGCTATAAGCCTGTTAACAGCATGCACAGAAAAATACCACTGACTTCATCTCTCTCTCTCTCTCTCTCTCTCTCTCTCGCTCTCTTGCTCTCATTCCATCTCTTTGTCTCTCGCTCGGTGTTCTTCTTCTTCTTCATCTCCGCCTCCTGTCTGCATTGTTACCGGTCCGTCCCGTCTCGCCTTTGTCTTTCTCTCTCTCCCTCTCTGTCCCGCCAACTTAATCACTTTCTCCTCTTCTGTCCTCTCTGTTAATGTTGATCAGTCCCTGTGTCTGTGTCTGTGTCAAGAGAGAGAGAGAGAGAGATTGACGACGAGATAAAACACGAGAGGGCCGATGTGCGGTGGGGACGGTTTGGGACTCTTTCCCACAGGAGATGCAGTGACACGAGTTCTAATCCCGTGTCTCTGTCTTAATTGCACGGTTATATCTTGGCATATTTTTTTATATCAAAGTCTCTCTAGTTTATCTTCCTGTGAAACATTTCCATATTTTTGAGGATTCATCTTGAACACCAGAGCCTATACATAACTTATCCACACATGTATGATTTGCTGTGACCAGCTAACCCCGTAGTCATCATAAATCCATACTTGTGGGTTGCGGGAGCTAGCAGAGCGATGTCATAGTGGGATGTCTGTGATTGGTTCCCCAGGCCAGTTTGATGTCACTGTGTGTTTAAGGAGGGATAAAGGAATTGTCATAAACTGTCATTAACCGTCTATTCATCCTAATACTAAGAGCAATCACATGTAACCCCTATGATTAAGGAAGCCCTCTGCTACAGTTCTGAATGCACTCCATCTGTAATTAACAGTTCCACTCTTAGCATGATTATAATAACTACAACCACGATAACGGACCTGCCATCAGTTACAATCATAATATCTACCATCATTGTAATTATACAATCAGAAGGAGAGTTAAAGGGGGATGAGAGGAATCGGTATCGTTTCATTAACAGAATATATCTCGCGGCCTGTTTGATGAGCGCTGATATCCGTCCGCACAGTCGGGGAGAGGGCAGCAGCACGACCCCCACTGGCTGCTTTCAACTCATCTTTGGCATCATTAGAGCACAATGATGATGATCAGAGGAGAGAGGGCCACCGTGCCAATTTCCAATACCTAAAGAAATCGAGACAAGAAGAGCACGACAACCGCATCGCTCGTACGCAAAATGTGACAAACGCGACCTCTGGCCAAAGGACATTGGACTAACGTGAGGGGAACGCCTCTTCTGGATGAAAAAACAACACGATGCATATTATCTCCAAAGTTGATCGGTATCAGGCGTAGACTGTATACAATAAGTGGAAGTTTGTGGACTGCCGTTTTGCATTTTGGCCGTCACCATCTTGTTTTTTTTAAACCAGAGGTGACATCTATTTTACTCTAAATGTAAGTTAGACTACGTGTATAGTCTAAAAAACCACTGACTTTATAATCTATTGTATAAGCTACATTTGAATTCAGTATTAAAATGATCAATGCATTAATCGATTGGAGTCAAACACACTAAGAGTTCATAGTGATTCTGGAGGCAAACTCCAAGCTCCACACAAATTGCATCATCCTTCTAGGATTGAAATCAGATCAGTGGTGCACATTACCTCAGGTCAGGCTTGACTTTATGGGCGGGCCCCCCAGGGGGTCTGGCCTATTAAATCAGCAGGGGGAGGCGCGAAGAAACAGCTCTCTCTCTCTCTCTCCCTCCCCCTCTCTCATTGACCCTCCCTTCACTTCCCTCGTCGTTTTCTAATCCAGTCGACAGTTCTATTTACAACCACGAAAAGCAAGCAGGCGGAGATACCTGTCTGTCAATCGACCTCCACCGCTCCCTTTCCTTCAGCACTCTGGACAGCGCCGCCGTGACATAAGCACCTGCCAAGACAAACTGCTCTACAGCTCGTATCGACCAGTAACTTTAAATAATATATTTTTAAAGTCCATAAAAACAGCATCTAAATAGAGCTTGTTTATCTAAATCATTCCCCGGGTAGGCTGCATTCCCACTGAACTGAATCTACTGTCAATAACTGAGGCGCATATGTGTACGTATAGATAGGATGTGTTTATAATTGTACAATCAGCCTGATCGATGCGCACACGTGCTCCGCCTATTGGGCAGTAATCAGAGTTCCCTCCCCCGGATTTATGTCTGCCCCCGGCTCTGCCTCAGGGAATGAATATATTATGTATTAGAATAATGAACAATCACTGCTGTACACAGCTATCTCTTTGCGACATCAACAAAGCAATCGCTTTCAAAATCACGACTGGAGGAGCTGTTTAGTGGATGTGAATCGTGTGGCACCAGTCAAGCTTTTAGAAAGTCTATAAAGCCTTTCTAAGTGGGTACATTGTACAATTACTCTGTAAGAAAAGCTTATTTATGGGAAAGCATTGCTTTGATCGCTGCATATACACTCCGACCGGCTCGTGTAAACTCGCAGCCCGGTGACATAGTTCCTGGAATTGACGGGTAGTTTAAAGGTACTTGTAAGAAAGAGGAGTTCCAGCTGTTACAGTCTAAATCTTATGATTGTTTTTGCTATTCCTTCCACATATTTACCTTTTCACCCATTAGGTTGCAGCTGTGTAGGTGAGGCTTGGGGGTTATGGTGCTCGCTACTCTCAGCTTCAAAGATTGTTTGTGACCCACTTTTCTTATATGAGGGGAGAGATTACTAAATTATTTATTGGTTATTGTGTCTTTTTGTAACATATTCACGTTCTAGGTGTTGACCCTTGACCCCTATTGAGTCACAAAGGCTGGAGACATGAATGGCAGTGGACTAAAAATTACCTTGAGCAGGTTGAGTCGTTTAATGCTTAAAAAATTCAATACACCCATCCATATTTTCCACTAATAGGAGACTTAATAAAGTCCAATATAGAGGGAGATAAATGGAAGTAGGAAAATACAACGTTTTTTGACCTGTGACTGAAAGGGTGAAACACCCAACGGTGCTCTCGGATGCATGGATCGACTGATGCGAGGGCTGAGCTGATTCCTAGACGGATGAACGAGTCAGTAAATGTCACGCATACCAAGATGAACTTAATGTAATGGATGTGAACGCAAGAGCGGCTGGAGGACAGACGGATGGAGAAGATGGATGATCCGCACGGAGGAATGAAAGAGCGGCGCTAACCTGCTGTTCGGCCTCTTCCTCGTCGCTGCTGATCTTCAGGTCGTCCTCCAACATCCTGCGAGGAGACAAAAGGGACACGTGTCATTGCGGCCCTGACCCCCCCCGTCTGCTTGTGTTAGGTCGGATATGGGGGAGTCGTGATCGGCGATCCCCTTTGAAGAACCTTTCTGGTAAACGGGTTAATTGCAATGCTTCATGTTGGGGAATGAGGAAGTGGACAGTGTGGACGCAAAAAAAATAAATAAAAAATACCAGATGTTCGGCTTTTTGGAGCTCGGAGAGGAAAGACAGATTGTTTTTTCACCTGGAAACTTTCAGTCTGACAACCGCTGACCGACGGCCAAGAATTCCTTGGAAACAAGGAGGACGTCCTCGGCCGAGATCAGTCCCTCAGTCGGGATCGTACACGTTCTATTAAGATAAAGGAGCCGCTTATTGCCCTGTTTGTTTTATTCTCCCCGCGTCACAGATGAAATTCTAACAATATAGACGGACGCGGGCTGTGAAACAGATATACAAGACACAGTCGATAACATGACCCCCCCTCTGAGCATCACCTGCTCCGTACGGCACAAATTATTCAGTATTTATGTGCTGTGCATTGGCAAGCTCCCATGTTTTATTGCTTTATATAAACCTTCCACACAAACTACTGTTATTTCTAAGCTGCCACTGCTATTGTTATGACAGGAGAATCCCCTAAAGGGATTTTTTACTGCCTCACGAACCACTCTTGTCAGTGCTTGCGCCGCTAAAAAAAACAAAAAGAAACACACTCCCCAGTGTTGTGGTGTTTTCAGAGGGGACCGTACGAGTCGTGAATAACTGAGGCACAATAAGAAAAAGCTTTGCAGATAAGGGCCACGGTGCAGCACGCGGGCAATGATAGATACGTTTGAATGAATGAATAATGGATTTGTGTTTTATTTCATAAGAAGGGACAGATGGAGAGAGGGAGATAGTGAGTGAGATGGAGATGATAATGACGGAGAGGCGAAGGGAGAGGGAGACTGAATATATATATAGAGAGAGAGAGAGAGAAGAGAGGAAGCATGGAGGGGGGAGAGAGCGAGTGGAAGCATCTATGAGGACGGACGCAGTCGGGTATAAATGAGTTATGGACTAAAGCATCCGTGACATGCAGAGCTCGGAAAGCACAGCATCACATTTCTACAAGGCTCTTAATTGCCTTCATAAAATGGAGTCTTTATTTCTTAAAGTTAAGGCGCTAGTAGAGCCCCATTACTTATTGAAGTTTGTCTTAAAGGATGTTAAAGAGACGCTTCGGACTTTTTGAAGTGGGGTTATATGAGGTACTTCTCCATCGTCAGTGTACTTTGATTGAGTTTTTGGAGATACAGACAGGAGAACCAGCACAGGAGTAAAACAATGTTCTGACGGGAACTGAAGCTTCAACCGTCATGTGTGCTTTCATCAAAGTCACTAGACTACTTTGACAAAAACAGTAAATACTATCAGCGCCAAGAGAATCATGGGATCCCTCGCATCTGTGAGTGAGTGAGTGTGCACCTCTGTGTCTGTCCACGGCTAATCTCGCATTCTGCTGCGGTAAACCGCATAATATTTTGGGTGGCCAGGACCTCTCGTGGTTGCGGTGGCTCACACTTTCTCAAAACACCTTTTAGCTCCTGTTTTTTTACTGCCACTGACTGCCTGACTCCTCACTAACTACTCTGCATAAATCAAAATGATCTGCTGTGTGAGACATCGAGTGAAAAACATGTCTGATACGCTTGCGTCTAGACGGGGGGTAGTATTCATTCAATCAAACATTACAGCAGCGGTTGCCACAGACACACCTGGCAGAGATCTACTCTCTACTTAGTGCACATTTCTAATCTTACCTAAAATTACTGTTTTTGTCAACATATTCTGGTGGCTTTGAAGCAAGCATAATGAAACGGCTTGGTTATTCTCACTCATACTGTGCCTTATTATCGAACGAAAAAGTCACATTTCTGAATTGTAAAAAGATGTCTCCCTGTTTACACCAGAGTGAGAAAATGGCCCATCAGAAGTGTTTTCATTTCAATCACGGTTTACCTACAAGAAGTGCATTCACACTCAAACTTGTACCATTAAAGTGCAACAAAATCACAGTGACAGTGGCCACGTCATTGTCCTCCTCCAACCCGTCACCTGTTATACAAAACACCGCAGACCGAGCAAACACGAAAGCCGGTTGGTCGAGACACGAGTCTACTACACTTCTTCCGCTCTGTCGTCTTAACGTCACATGATCGGATCAGAGCGTAACCAAACTCCTGTAGCTGGAAGGTGCAGTACTCTCTGCTCTGAAGAAGAAAAATGCGTCTGCTGCTAATGTGGCATTAATGTACAAAGCCTATTTGCGGGGATTACTGTAGGATGTAATGGTCGGACGTTGTAAACATTGGGCGAAGAATATAGCAATTAGCCTCAACGGCACAATTACTCTTGAATAAGACGAGCTCGGCCTATTCATTACCCCCAACATTTTACGCTGTTGAGCTTCACAGTAAAAAGCAGTGACTAGCTTAATGGGTGCAGTAAACCAGGCATTGTTTTTAACCAATAACAATCATTTCACCCTCATAAACAAAGCAGCATTTATGCTCGAATACAAGATGGGGGAAAATTCACACCTCGGGGCAAACAATAGTAATCAACAGAAACAGGCTTATCGGCTTTGGAAGCAAAGTAGCGTAATAAGCCACAGAAAGCACTACGGCTCCAGCAGACATCATCCTAATGGAGATACAATTAACTATGTAACTACATACCCAAAGAGGTTACATGCTGACCTACTGCTGAATTACTGCCAACTACAGACTGCACTCACTGTTCCTTAACTTGCAGGGTTTTTGCATCATCTTTCGGCCATCAAGTCTTTTTCATTTCCACAAGCCTCGTCTTGACATTGCGCTTGCCACAATTTTCTCTCTTTCTCATTTTTTTTCTTTTAATTAGCTTTCATCAAATGCATAAATAATGCATCGCACAGAGCACTTGAAAACTCATTTGATATGACAGTGGAATAGCCTGAAGATCCTCTTCTGCGGATGAAGAACAAAATTAAACAAGAAGCAGCAAAACAATTTGAAAGGGAAGCGAAAACGAATAAGTGGATTTAGGTAATACTCCGATACTACAAATAGAAACATTTTCTCTGGTTTGGTTTTAAATGTAGTCTCTGTCAAATGGATCACTGACTGTTTGCTAAGCCCCACCAGTCTTAGCTAGGCTACTGTTGCTACACATTCTTGGATGGTACTCGTGTACTTTACAGTGATAACTTGCGGTTATTCTTTTTAAACAAAGTGTCCTTGATTTCATACAAAGACAGGCTTCCTTTGTTTTTAGTGGTTAACTATCGACGCTGTTTTGCTAGCTTAAATGACAGCTGTCGCTAGCTGATTTTAGAAAGCTGTAGCAGGCTAGCTAAGTGAGCTAATGTTAGCAGCACGGTTGCAAACGCTGGCTCTGGCTGATTTTCTGATGTTTCCAGCAGATTTGAATCTCGTAAGATTTGTCCTAAACATGCACCTGATGGCTTCATTCGTGTTGTACCAAAAGAATGAGGCCGAGGCTCTACGCTTTAAACCAGAAAAAAAACATTCTCACCAGATTATGATACATGTGGTGACATGGAGATAAACAAGCGGCATAGTTGTGGAAAAGTTTAAGATCAAACTCACTTATTTCATTCTCCCATCACTGTCACATTCTTACATACTACATCATTTTGTAATAACTATATTTCACTTCAAGCGTTACCAGACACTAGGCTTTTAAGATGACTTACTCATGTGTTTGGCTAACATGACACTAACTCATAAAACAAGTTGGGCTGGGGTTCCTGGAGTGCAAACTTCCAGAAGCGTAACACATTCACATCGTAAAAAAATATTTTTTTCAGAATTAACAATCTCAGGATTATGAGACAGGTTTTCATGGGAAAAATATAATCTACTCTGTTTTTCTGATTTTCATTTATCTAGATCAATTTCATGGAAGCTAACTTATCCAGCTTGTTTAGTTTAATTAGGTCTTAGTTTGATTTAAGCAACTGGGGCGCAATTGCCTGTTTGTGTCAGTCATCTGGAAATGCATTTCAGATGACTCATCTTATATCTAACATCTTATAGGAAGCATGCCATATCCATTCAGCTGATCCTGGAGAAAGAACAGCAATATCCAGCAGATCAGAATGGGCTTTATGTCTGCAAACAATACCCTCTATATAGCTCTCATGTAAATAAAGAGCTTCTCTTCGAGGCATCTTGTTAATTCAGAGAAACAGAGCAGATTGTATTTTTTTCATGAAAACATTTCTTGTAATTTTGAGAAAATAATCTTGTTACTTTAGAATTGTTTTTCTAAAGTGAACGCATTATGCATCCGTACAAACTAAATCAAATTAAATCACCCCAAATCAAATCAAAATCACGACAGAGCTGCTTATGTCAAGACAGTTGGGAGAACAAGACGCAGCAGTTTTAATTATGAATCATTTTTTTGTGTAACCTCTGACCCCACAGAATGTAGTGGGCTAATAATGCTCCTCGGTCTAGGAAGTCAAACTGTGTCAGGTTATTTCTGTTAGCTAGTCAGCTGGACATGCTAACAATTGAAGCTAAAGTTTGAGCAGATAAAGACACCATTCCTGTGCTATTTGTGTTCCTCATTTTGTAAAGGCTAAAAGCCGTGCCTCCGTAGCCACAGTCTCTAAGCTATGATTGGAAATCACTGTCCGGGGGGGAAAGGGTTTAGCAAACGGTCAATTTCCAAAACAAAATTGTTGAGCCTCTGTGGTTAGGCGCAGGATAAATGGGGGTCGCGAGGCGGATTTACAAGCCGACTCCAATCTGACCCTGCCATGAATCCAGCTGCACGGCTCCTGTCAGTGAAGTAAAGAGGGCTGCAGCCTGAGATGTTGCAATATGCTCCTGGCCCGCCTTAAATTAATGTAGCTGCACTTTCCCGCTCTGATCCACACAATCTCTCTTCTTTTTTTTTTTTTTTTTTGCTCCCCCTCCTACCAGCAGCGAATTCCATCCAAGAGTCAAGCTTCATTTTACCTCGAGGCAAACGCAGCAGCGGTGGGTCACAACTCCTCTGTTTACGTATACGTGTGTGTGTGTGTGTGTGCGTGTGTGTGTTAGAGAGGGAGATACTCACGACTTCTGTGGTGCAGTCGGTGTTTTCGCAGCAGGCTTGTTAGCTGATACAGTGCATCGCTCTGCAACAGAAGACATTCAAGTATCACTGTTTTGCACGGGTCTCGGTTTGTGCGCGTGTTGATTAGTTTTTGACAAGGAGCCAGACTCACATCACTGTAGCTGTTTGTTACTAGTGTCACACTGGAAAAACCAAAAAACACTCCGCTGCGGTGTTATTCAATTAGAGAGTGTGTGCGTGTGTGTGTGTTTTTTGCTTTGCTTAACTTTGGTAACAGGATCGGGGGTAAAAATAAAATCCAAACTGACAAAAACACGAGGTGATGATGTACTTTTCCAAATGGATATACAGACTTTCCAGAGCAGAACCCCATTTGCCGTATTTTACATTCTAGTCAGTTGTGTTTTCTTCCGTTCATATATCAGAGGGGGAGAAAACCCGCCAGTGGGGAGATATTTCAGCTTTATATACACCACAAAGATCTCAAAACACTACAAGACGGAGGTTAACACAAGAGCAGCGGTTCAGAGGAGCTTCTGATGATCCGATGCCTGGGAGCCACTGTAATGAACCCAATGCAGTATTGGGTGATATGATGAGATATGATACTGTACCATGAGACAAAAGAGATTCCATCAACTGATCGAGATTTTGCTTCACATTTGTATATCTATGTTAAAGTAGTAACCCTTCAATAGCTCTTGTTGTATTACAAAATTGTAGGCACAGATATAAGGCACTATTGGATTCATAGTTGCATCAATGTGATAAATGATATTAATCTGTCAGGTATTTAAAGCTACTACTAGCAACTTTTTATTTTGTTTTGATTATGGCGGCCCCTGTGGACAGAAGCGGTAGTGTTTCCGAGCAACACATTCCCTTTAGGAAACCCTTTCATTTTACTGCAGCGGGGGGTCTGACCGTCCGCCCCACACAGTTCTGGTTCCTGTTCTCCCGTGCCTTCCTTTCCGTCAGCGGGCCCAGCAACACGGCGCCGCTGGAGTCTGAGCAGAAGGATTTTCTTCTGGTGACCCTGCATGGTTTTGTCTGAATTTGCACAGAATACGACCCGCTGGCACCGATGACGAGCGTCGAGAATAAGTGTATAGAAACAGCCGATCTTCTCACTGGTGGTCTTGCTTACGTGTGTAGGTCATAGAGAGGCATCAGTATAACACCGAGACTGTTTCATAGCCGGTTAAAAGTTCCTCACAGTAAGTTTAAAGGGGAACTCTGTGAAAACTGTTTGAGGTTCATTAACTACATTTTTGTCTTGTTATCCGGACTTGGGGATGTTACATTATTAACAAAGAGTCAAAGAAACAAAGTAAAAGAAGTCCCTAGTTTGTAGAGACGTAAAGCAGCAATGTGAAATGTGTAGTACAGCCAGCGTGGGACTACTGGACACACGCTCATATTCTGTTTACACATGATCCGTATCTACATACATTATCTGAACAATATAACAGCCTCTGCCTCTACATCTGCTCTTAATTAGTGATCTCATTATCTCAATTTGTACCTGCACTGTGATCGGATGTCAAAGTGTCAATGAATTAAGCCGGGCTGGTGGTCCCTGGTCAGGAGAAGCACAGGCTCCTCTCGTGTTTAAAATCACTGTCTGATAACAACGCATTTGCACCTTGCATCACTGCGCTGAGTTGTTTTGATTATCTAGACACAGATCATGTATTGATAGCCATGTTACCATTCAACTGTCAAACGAATTGTAAGTAATCATTTTAAAAATATCTTAAAACTATCAACTGGTTTTGGAGACATCTAGGTGAGATTGGATTGTTTTGTCTTTCTACAATATAACGCTATATATCATTATTGCAGTGTAAAACTTCACAAGCTGTGAGAGAATATTTAATCCAACATTCCCCACGTCTAAGTCAACACTGTGAGTTCACACAGCAGCACCTGATGGGCCCTCACCACTTAAGTGTGAGCTTGGAAATAAATGATCCCAATATGTAATTGTCCATGAATAGCAGCACATCACGGTATTAAACGCCGACTGATGAAGTCTCAGTTCCTGCGGGGTGAGCGTCCTCCATGTGTTTAACAAAACATGGACTCCAAAATCCATCACACCAATTGGGCCGGTGTATGTAAAAGCCGTGTTTGTGTGATTACTAGTTGGGATGAACACGGGGAGATAAAAGCGAAGGTTTTTTGCTCCTGTGGCTATGAATTCAATCCAACATCAAGCTGCTTTTTCCTCCTTCTTCTCCGTTTCTTCTGGGTGGTGTTGCCTTTACAGCCCCTCCGCTGTTAATTACCATAGAGCCAGAGTGTGTGTGTGTGTGTGTGTGTGTTTGGATGCTGGGAAAACTTACTCTGGGTGTTGTAGCCTGAGGTCACATGCTGTGACTCCTAGAGAGAGAGAGAGAGAGAGAGCGAGAGAGGAGCCAGAGAGGAGCCAGAGGGCGATGAGTTGAATGAATAAACCAACAGATGTCATTATTGATTTCACAGCAGTACAACGGTGCCATTACACGGGATTCAGATCCTCTCGTCTCCCTGCGTCGGTGCTCCGCCTCGCTCCCAGAATCCTCTCTGGCAGGGTTAGCGTGACGCTGGGGGCTGGGAAGTCTTTTTCCTAATTCATTAACTAGCGGGCTCCGATTTACCGCCGCCGTGTTGACGTCGCCGTTCCTCTTGACGACAACCACCGGCGTGACGTTTTGCATATTGAAAGAATGATTCATGACAGCATTCAGCGGCGGGAAAACACCTGCTGTTTCAGTCTGAACATTGACGCCGTTTCCGAGATAAATGTTGACCATAACGTTTATGTTGTTTTGTTAATGTGACATATACTCCCACTATTTACGCTACGAGGCGCCGTAAAGCGTTCTTCGTGCGGAGCGGGAGGAACGACTATCGTCTGAAGTGGCAGTTCTTTAGTCCCGGCTTTCATTCTGCCTCCGTCTTTGTTGATTACCGTTGTCGTGTTTCGGCACTTCCCGTCTCAAACATCACCCGTCAAAACAAACGGTGTGGTTGAAGCGACGTTCTTGTTCTTTGAGTGTTCGGGCCCGGTTGTTATCACCGTTTAAGTTGAGAACACTTATTTTTCTGTTTTTCATGACCAGTAAATCATCTGTTGCATGCCATCAGGGTTGTTTTTTTCTCAGGAAACAGCAACAAGAAACCACATGGAGGATGCGGTTGTAGCTTATTAGCTGTGTTTCACCATCCACTTTAATTAAAACTGATTAAACTGCTGCTGTTTTTTTGGAATAACGTGTGAGCTTATCCCGTTAGCACCCGAGCTAACGAGCTCGCTGATTCTTTTTCCCTCGTGGGGAAGCTATTGTGACTAACTAGCATTAGCACGTTCCGGTTAACATGTTAGCAGTTAGCTCACTAAAGATCCCTGTGAACAGTCACTGGTTACACTCGTCTTTTCAATGCTACTTTTGTCATGTTGGGATGCACTAACTGTCGGGTGTGTTCGCTCCGAGATCCGATCTCGCTCGGCCCCGATCAGCCAGACCACATGCCGAGGTGGCCTGGCTCCGCGTTGGGATCGGATGCCAGTGAGGTGTTTACAGCATGTGAGCACGATCTGGACAATTTATCTAACGTAGGTCGCCATCATCTTCCCCCCAAAGTTTTCTTTTGTCAGACAGAAGAAAAGGGGAAGAGAGGAGGAAAACCGGGACTAGAGCACAGCTGAGACCTGCTGTCTGATACAAATTATTTTTTAAAGCTTTTAAATAACAATAACAACCTTTATAATGTGTTGCTATGTGTAATGAATGCTTTATTGATGCCTGGTTAATAATCATGTACTTATGCTTTGTAGATCTGTTGTTATAAGCACTAAATGTAAAAAACCTTTGGGTTGCCAGGTTGTGAATAATCGGTCTGGCTGGTTAAGATATTAACAGGGTCATTGACATGTGTAATACTAACAGGTCACTAATAATAACAGACACAAGTTTCGTACTTTCCAGTGATCTCACACCAAAAGTCAGCGTGTCATTTGTAAATTGTAGGCATACACAATTGCAAAAATGTTTATAAATAGTTAAATGTTAATATGTTTAATTTATTAATGAATGGACTTTGGAGCAGTCTACAGCACCGGCTGATCATTAAAGACAAATCAAGTGTGCTAACCCAAAGCGTGTCCTTATTAATGGCTTACAACCGACTATAAATCATTAGATTCATATTTAATAATTAATAAAGAGTGCCTTGTTTGAAACGTCTGATGTGCACACATGAACATCTGCAGCGTTCAGACTTCCGCAGAGGAGAAGCGTCCCTCTTGTAGAGCGCGTCCACTCTGGACACGCAGCCAGGAGCTGAATCAGACACGCAGTACTTCATTAACGTCGCAATTTCATCGGCTGTCACTTGCGCCGCCGCGCAGGATGAGGCAACAGTAATCGGATTCCATCGCAGCGATCGCCACCGCGGTGAATTTATGAATCGGATCTAATTAGCAGACCGAGCGTTCTCTGTGACAGACAGACAGTTAGTTTAACGGTGAGCCGCCGATGAGCGTGGGAGTTTAAGTGGAGCTTTTTCACCACTTTTGCGTCTGTTTTTTTTTTCGAACTCACTGACAAACAAAGCAAAAGGATGCAGTCGCAGCAGATGACACCAACACTTAGGAAAGCATACATTACCAGGCTTGTATTCCAAAATCAATTTGCACCATTAAGCCTGAATGAGAGGTGAGAGAGCTCGCACTAACCTTGCTCGGGATGGGGAACTTGGTCTGATCGGCCTTCCCAGGCGTGTGTATGGCTGTGAGGGGAGGAGGCCAGGAATGGGTCATCTCCTACAACACACACACACACACACACACATTTGTACCACGTTATTTACTACACACCGTTTATGATAATTAAGCATTTTCTGGCACAAGTCCAAAACTGAATGTGGAAAGCACCCGGTGAATAACAAGGATGACTGAAGTTGAGCAAATTTGAGCACAGGGACCCGCTTGGCGCAGCAGAGTCAGCGTTCCATCGAGGCTGCGCGCCTCCCCCCATCAGACTTTAATAGAACATATGGTACAGTGAGGAGGGAGCATGGGGAGTCGGTGGCACACGGGGGGGAAATCAGCGTGCTGAGAGCGAGCTGACTTGCAGAGTTGTCGAATTAACCCAAAAAAAAAAGAAGCTGACTCCAGTTGGTTGCATTACAGCTAAGAGCCACAGCAGCAGGATCCCGTTTCAATTATTCTAATCGCACGGTCTTCTCCGTTCAATTCCGAGTCTCAATGTGTAGAAGCTTCAATTAGTTAACAAGATAAGGCACGAGCGTGGCTGCTTCTTTCTTTCTCACAAACGATGCTTTGGGGAAATGTGCTCCCGAAGCAAAGCCTGCTAATTCATTCATACTGTTTGCACACTCTTGTTTGCCTCTGCGGCCTTTTTCACGACATCAGAGTCCCACCTGGTGATGCGTTCTGCTTCACGCGTCTGTACAGATGACTGCCGTGCAGCGGCTCACTGGGTCAGAGTGCTCCAAAGGTCACCGACATCACAACCTCCCAATGTGCGTCTGACCCCCCCGATGACTCATGTTCCTCAGATGACTCAGATGTTTTCGTGTATGAGTCAATGTGCATGTGTGTGTTTTTCCCCCCCCAACACACTCGGTCCTGACGACACACGGTGCGTTGCCAGGCAACTCTTCTCTGACATCATCGTGTGCCTCCTAGAAGAGTTCCTCCTGAACGCACTCTTGACGGTGTGTGTGTGTATCTCAATGTGTGTGTGTTTATGAATGTGTTACTACTGCCATTGTGTGTGACCCACATGTCACCATGGTTTCCCAGCTATTATCTGCTTATCCGTCATCCATCTATTACACGTTAATGCACGTTGTTCATTCACCCCCAGAGTCCGCCGGGTGTGTGAGCAGATGTTCTCTCTCTCTGCTGTCTTCACACTACCGACCTATTTTTTCGCCCAAGCAGCCCTCGTGTCTGAACATGACATTCACTTGTGAATGTATATTAATGGCTACTGACAACAGCCTTGAAAGTCATATTCAATAATGCTTTTCATCTGTTGGAAAATAACAGAAATACATCGTTCATTGAAGCCAAAAAACAAAACAAAAAACATAATTTTCCTCCTCCCAAAGGTCTTTGAACACATCATGTGTGACTCACGCCTCCGTCAGAAAAAGCAACCAAGTCAAAGCATGACATTTTGATATTTCATCAAAAACACTTTATTCTACGTGTTTCCTGTAAACAACATTAAAGCCCAGACTGACTGGCCTGAGACCAGCAGTCACGTGACAGCTTTGACTAAACTGCAGGCTGCTGAACACAGAGCAGGGCAGAGAGGAGAAGTTTGAAGCAGATCAAAGAAATTCAACTTGTGTTTTTATGATTCATGGCATTATAAGAGTCTAATACTGCACCAAAGACATGTTTGAGTTCTACTTCTAGCCATGATGGGGCTGTTTCCTTAGAGGTGCGAGATTTGCAGTGAAAAACGAGGCCACAGAGACTAAAATGTGACCTGAAAGGCTTCCAGCTCTCTGTGGAACTAGACAGAGACGTGAAGCAACCAAAACGCAACTTATCAATGTTCAAAAGAATACAATAAAAAGATGTCATGTTGTAGTTTACATCCATACCTGTCTAAAGTGTTATCACTGACATTTGTGTGAATATTGTCATAACTAGCATGTGAATTCTTGAGTTACGGCTAGAAACGTGGTTTGTGAGGTCACAGCGACCTTTGACCTTCAAAATACTAATCCGTTCAACCCTGCAGTGCTGCCGGACGTTTGTGCTAAAAATTGAAGAAATTTCCTCCAGGCGTTCCTGAGATATCGAGACAGACAACTCCGTAACATAACACCTCCAGCTCCGGCTGTCTCTGGCACGGAGGCATACGCAGTGTGTGGATGCAGATGAACCAGTGTAGACAAGCGTAAAACTGACCCCAAGCCAGTCCGTCAATTTATGTGGTGTTGGTGGACACTTGAATAATTCCAGCTGTTTGGAGGAGATGTTTTCACATAAACAGATATTAGAGATGAACTATGAGCTGATTACACAAGCTCTAATAAAGACATCATTAAAACTACTAATGGAGATTTATTTGAATCAATAAAAACACATCTTTTATTTGCTTATCAAATGAATTGTGTGTTTTTATGAAGAAAATAACCCACTATAAATGACTATAACAAAGTAAAAGGATAACATTTAGAATTGTTGATGGTTTACAGACTTCAGTGCAGATGAAATGATTTTTGGGACAGGTGCAAAAATAAGAATCCTTGTAGACCAGCTGCTACAATCAAACAACAAAGGGATCTGTATCTGTCAATATGGACCAATGATCGGCATTAGTATCGGCAGCACTAACAGTTATATTTGCTCCCTTTATTATTTTGTGCTGATCCGAACCTTGAGTTTTATGATGTGTTGCACCACTAGTATACATGAGATGAGAGGTAGGAGAGGAAGATAAGTTGATGATGCTACTTGTGTACAGTCACCATACCATATGCTAAAATATAAGCAGGGGTGAATTCATCTATGGGAGACGGAGAAATGATTTCCTCTATCCTGTCATAAGGTGGTCCAAACGCCGCAGGAAGTCTTTCAAAGGCTTGAAGTCCGTTTAAGCAGCTTTCCTTCTGCACACAATATCTCTGACACGCACTGTTACCTTGAATTGTGAAAACCTCCAAAACAACAATGTTTCTGTGACAACCCACTTGTAGGGAGAAAAAAGAAAAAGGCCGCAGGCCTCCGCTCCAATTCACCTCACCTAACATTCTGAACTCCCCCGATCTCTCCACTTGACACGGCAAAAAAAAACTCACACCATGAATTCAATGGCGCACCGATATTATTGACAAAGGCTTTTCATGCGGCTCACAGAGCAGTATCTGTCACACAGCCTGTTGGCCAGCATATTGATTTGTGAAAGGGAGAGAGAGAGAGCGCTGAATGACAGAGAGATGAAGAAGAGGGGAAGACAGACGTGACGGGTGAGGGAGGGAGAGAGTGAGGGATGTGATAAAAGGAGATGGAGACTAATACGGAGAGGAGAGAAAGAGATAAGTTGACATGAAGCAGTCAGAGAAGGTCTTTAAGAGGTTTGTGGGTGAAAACATCTCTGTTTTGACATCGCCCTGAAGGAACACAGCAACAACACAGCTCCTTCTTGTGGAAGGAAATGTGTTGCTTTTGATGACATGCAGATAGGAAAAGAGAGAGAAACAGAGAGAAAGGGAGATGAAAGGGGGGCAGAGGAGAAAAGTGTGGAAAAAAAGACTCCTGCATGAAGTCATCCTGCAAAAAAAAAACAAAAGAAACTTGTATAATCATTGACCTGAGCCAACAGATCCCTTTCTTTTCCCTCCGCTGTCCTTTCCTCCTAAAATCAGACTCTCTGGAGGGAGACGAAGGTCTTTGTGAACAAACAGAAAACAGCTGATAATCAGTGCAATTACCCCGTCTGTGTGTGTGTGTGTGTGTGTGTGTGTGTGTGTGTGTGTGTGTGTGTGTGTGTGTGTGTGTGTGTGTGTG